CGACCGAGAACTGTGTGAAGATCCACGCCCTTGGATGCTTGATGTTGCTTGATACACGCGTCATGTACGACAGGAACGCAGTGCCAGACAAAATGACCGGATCGTTACCGATGAACGCAGTGAGAAGGAAGAAGAAGGCATACAGGTAGAAGAAAAGCCGGTGACCGACTTTCCCTCCTTTCTGCAACACCTTGAAAGCTAGCCATCTAATGAGACCGGAAGCATCAACAGAAATGGCGATGTAAGCAAGAGAGAGGAAGAACAGCATGATATCGTATGGAACAATACCCTGATCACCCAGGGTGCCACCCTTTACTTCTTTTGCGCCAATAGCAAGGATGGCTAGTAGAAAGAGATCCGCTACCAGAGGTGTCGTTATGAAGTTCATGGGAAAGTCGAACCGGACGAATGGTCCAGGCTTGCCATTCCGGACCCTCGTTGGGTGTTGTGGTGGTGCAATGATGCGCAACGCGCTCATGGTCTTGACGAATGGGGTCCATATTATCCGCGGCACATAGATGGGTATGTGGAATGGAAAAAGAACATTGATGTCTACAAACATTTGCTCGTTAGTCCGCCATCTGCAATGTCAGTACACACACGCTACTTACTTGTCAATACGAAAACAATGAGCGTCACTATAGAGCGCCACTCTTTGATCTTGCTAGTATCAAGGTCAGGCCTCTCTGTCTCTGTGGCGCGCTGGTTCAACATGTTGCGCCCCGTAGCAATGCTGGAAATCCACACTGCAAGATGATCTTGGGGCCAGAAAAACCCCAGGAGGTGTCCTGACGTTTAAAACGTGCAAGAACAAGCTTTTGGGTTCTGGGTAAGGGCCGATTGATGGGTACGTACGCCCGCTAGACGTTGCAGGCGATCTGTGAGCCGGCGTGCCTGGACCTCCGTCGCAACCGTGAACTTCAGTACCGATGCCGAGAAATTGCTTGTACGATGACGCGCGACATGGGCATGGCGGCAGGCAAGTGAGGCTCTTGTATTGTCGCAACATCTGCAGCCCAGGAGGCTGAGCTCGCAGCCCAGGATGACAAGATGATGGCATCTCGGCGCCGGTTGGGCCGCTAGCAAGTAGCGCCTCCCGTATCGAGAAAGGGTCCAGCGCTGACAGGTCATGCCTTCCACTCAGCCTCTCGCCCTATGCAACTGCGACAGGCGAAGACGATATAGTTCACCGGTAATCTGCATTGCCCCAAACCATTGGAGATCTACATGGCACGCCTTACCCCGGAGTCGCGCCCTTATGCGCGCTGCGCAATACCTATGCCGCTGCTCTTCCTTCGTGTCGGCTCATCCAGCAATGTCTTCATCTCATCTGTCTTTACCCATACCAGGGAAGCATGTCTGCAACTACAGCGCTATCCGACTTTGCGACCGCTACTTCGTCCGCTACAACGTCTAGCCCAACGCTACAAGTTGTTTGTGCCTGGCCCATTTCGTCCAACTATGGAGCAGGGTCGCGTGTTAGTACCAACTCCTTACCACGTGTGGAGCGGGTCTGGACCTATCAGAAAACTAATGCATGAATACAGATCCTGTACTATGTTCTCGTTGCCGCATGTGTAACTTTTCGCAAAGCAGAATGGCTACGGAACACCTGTCTGGCTGCCGTTTTAATTCTGCCGGCCATTTCGGCCCTGCAAGCCCTCGTGCTAGCAGCCGCGCATACGAATGGTCAGTATAACGGCCACCAAGAACTCCAAGAAGCGCATTTCTGACCAAGAACCCTAACAGGCGGCGTCGATATGGACATTTATGGCGTAAGTTCTTGGTGCCAATATGCTGTGCGACAAACTCTGATCAATCGTTTTCGACTGTGCAGGCTTTCCAGTTCTGCGCAATTGGCATTTTAGCAGCGCCTCTCACTGTGAGACTGTCGCGAACTTATTTCCAGTCTCCCGGTCGCAACATCATATTTCTCTGGACGATACTTATCCTGATGGGGCTGTTGGCCCTCTGCGTCGAGTTCTACCGGGTCACTCCAACGGCCTGTAGCAGCGACGATAATGGGAGTTCTTTCCGAGGTGCCGCTAACTTTCCGTACGAGCATGCTACTTGCAATTTGACGTGCTCTGAAAGCGTGGGTCCAAATTCTCCGATGCGAGGCGGATCTGCCGCCGATGTCTATGTCATTCCCGTGCCGCGCATTCTGACTTTCAACGCCGCCATGCTGCTCTCGGCCGGATTTTGCATACCTGCGATACTGTCCCTGATCTTCACCTGGGATAAGATTCTGGAGATCAACTGGAAGAGACGACGTCACGTGGAGCCGCTAGACACTCGGATCGAGGGCGCCAACATGACGGTTGGAGAGTTGAAAGGCATCAACAACGTCGTGAGAAAGTTCTTGAGTGTCATAGAGATCCCCTTATTCGGCGGGGTGATCATCACGATCATTGGGGTTGGCGAAGCAAATTTCTTCAGTCCTCAGGTGCGGTATATGACGGAACCTATGGCTTCGATTGGTGAGTAGTGTAGCGCAGTGGTATGTTCGGTGCTAACAGAGTCCCCAGGGCAATGGTCACCCATAGCTGGAACAATCTTGGCTGCACTTGGCTCTCTCTATATCCTGTGGTCGACTGGTGGTGATGAGGCTCCGCAGGAGAAGCATGTGGACCACTGTGAGAACTCTGGCTCATCGCGCCCCAGTCGTAGCAGCGAGCGACGACCATCTCCGCGGCCTCCCTCCTCCACCTACTTCAGCCCCAAGGGTATGGCAGAGAATGGCTTGGGCATACGCTCAGAGTCGCCCAATGCTATTGAACTGATCCCGACTATCACGCATCCCGGCTCCGAAAACCCTCAACCCAGCCCTTCTTCTTACGATGATCAACAAGAAATCACCCAAGCTGATCAGCCGACAGCCGGTAGAAACGTCGTGCGTAAATGGCTGACGTCTGCTGGCAATTACCTCGGCGACGCTGCGCATGAGAAGCTCGATACAGATCATGTCGGCAATGACGAAGACACTCATAGGTTTCCCGAAGTTCCTGGCGAGATCCTACGAAATCCCGATCTAGAAAGGATCAGTCGCACGTACAGTAAGCTCCGCGAAGAAAGGGAAAACAGCGTATATGCGGCAAGCATTGCATCTACATCAGGTATCGAGGGCAGTACATCTCCGCCACCTATACAGGATTCGCCTCGTCCCGATATCAGCCCTGTCCGTCGACCAGAACGACGGGCTACGCTGGAAGTACCAAAGGAAGTGCATCGTAGGAGCGAGAGCCATTGAACGCTTATAGACCAAACCAGGCTTCCGATACGGTCAGATGCGAAGGAACACTATGGCCTACCCCTACTGCCCAGATACCTTCGACACTCGGTCCGAAGTCGTCGGTGCGGTAGTTGCGCTCTGGCGTATCTTTCTTCGAGCTTGTCGGCGTGGCACTGACGCCAAATACGTTAGTCCACTGCTTCAGCGTCTCGTCGTAGTTCTTCGGGCTCAACGTTCCATCTACCGAGCCATGCCAGAATTCTTGAGAAGTCAGTACTTGGTTCACGAGCGTACAAGACTTGGAACTTACGCATGCGCGGTCGTGTTCCGTTATACCCGGGATACATCTCCCGAACTACGTCACCCCAGTGCTGCGCAGTCGAGATGGACTGCCCGCCAGAGCAGGTGTTATTCCATGCTGCCGCTGCCCCAGATGCAGAGACGAAACATCCAGCCGGTACACCCGAGTATAGAGACACTGCGCTGATGAGCTCGGGATAGGTGGCCGCCAGAACGTTGCTCATCATGCCACCTGAGGAGCCACCCGTCACGAATACTTTCTTGGGATCGATCTTGTACTTGTCGATCGCATAGATGATCATGTTCGCGATAGCATTCGAATCGCCACCGCCGTTATGCGATAACGAAGCTTTGCTGGACACGTCCCAGCACTCAGTCGTGGAGCTCGGCCAGACCGTCACGTAGCCTTTGCTATCCGACCCTTTCTTCCATGGAATCAGGGAGTTTTGGAAATACTTCTGTGCCGACGACTGGCATGAGTGGATCGCCACGACTAGCGCATCGCTTTTGACCTGGTCAGGCACATACACCCACCTGATTAGCGTGTCAGTCATTGCAACCTTGGAAAGGAGGGACGTGGATCACTCACATGCCTGGCTTTGCTCGCGCGCTACCGCCATAGTTCGAGACTTGTGTCAATTGCGCAGCGAGAACACCCGAAGCAAGTGCGAGGGTTGCAACAAAGGTTCGGGCGAGCATGTTGGAGGAGCTGGAGGTAGTTTGGCATTTCCATGTCGGAGCTTGGTCACTATATACACCCACAAGCTCCGCATTGACAGAGTGGGGTCGACTGTCATTCGTGGAAGTCGATTTTTTCGTCTCATCATGTAGTGTTTGTATCTTGTGGCACCACATGGAGTACAACAATCATCAGAGCCGTTATTAGGTAGCTCCGGATAAAGAGCGAGGTGCTCGCAATCAAGCTTCATACCAAGCATTTTCGCACATTACCCGCATATGTCTGTATCCCTGCATTCCACGTCTACCACTTTGCGACTGCCGATGTGAAACACAAGGACTTGATGTTACTGGTTGGCCCATCCTCAGAGTCTAATCCAGCTACTCTAAGTGCCGAACGAAGCTTGACGTCAGGCGCAGCTTTTAGACAAGCCTCGCGATGCCTGAAAGTAGCGCAATATAGGGACAGAGCAATGAGCAAGTGCTGCTTACAGAGGTCCGCGGATAGAAGGGTGGCTGGGCTGAATATCTGGTACGTTATATGAGGCCGACATTGGTGTCATGTGGGGAGCTTCGCGAAGGTCGTCCTGCTTACTTTGAGGCACTTTGAGCAGACAAGACATAATATCCTCCTAAGAATAGATCAGCTTGCTCAAACAGTCACTTTTAATCGCATTCCGCTCAGGGTAAGGACATTCACGATGTGGCTTCTCCTCGCAGCCACCGCCGTACTCTTAGCCCGTCGGGTCTCCGCTCATGGCGGAGCTTTGAACTATACTGTCGGAGACACATGGTACCCTGGGTAAGGCCAAGATGCAAACTCCTCAAAGAACGTAAACAAGTCGATCCAGTTAACGCTCTTCACAGCTACGATCCTTATGGCGACCAGGCCATGCAGGATGCTGCCGCATGGATGCCACAACGAAAATGGATTTCCAACAACCCCATTTTCGAAACCACCAACACGTCTCTTTCCTGCAACACCCCTGGTACACCCGCTCGCGCATACATACCCATTCGCGCGGGCGATAACATAACCGCCGTGTACTCGTACTGGGTGCATACTGTCGGTCCTATGATAGCCTGGATGGCATACTGCGACAACGCCGAGAATGACTGCACGACCTTTTCTAGCGAGACGGCAGATTGGTTCAAGATCGGCGAGAAAGGGTTGCTGGAAGGTAGCATCGAGACTGGAGAGTGGTTCCAGAAGGTGTTCAGTATGTGGGACGGAAGTCCAAGTCTATGGAGTGAAACGGTGCCTGTGGGGCTGAAGGCGGGAAGGTACTTGGTGAGGCATGAGATTATCAGCTTGCATTCCGCGAATAGTACGTCCAAGGTTGCTTCCTCCAGATGCAGCTCTTTGAGGATGACGAAAGGTGCAACGCGCTAACTATCTGGGGTGGCCAGAACCACAATTTTACCCCGAATGCGCGCATTTGGAAGTCACGAACGATAAAGCGGAAGGATCGATTCCTAGCGAGAAGTATATGGTCAAGATTCCAGGCGTGTGGAGTATGGACCGTACGTATGCGAATGGCCGGGTATAGAGCATGCGGCTGATGATAGATAGAACCTGAGATCAATATCGACATTTACGATCCCGAGGTCTCGGCAAAGACGGTACGCTCGATAGAGACACGGGTTGCTGCAAAAGCCTTGTGCTGACGAAATCACCTAGGTATACAACATCCCGGGTCCACCTGTATGGACTGGAAAGCTGTAGGTCGGCATGTGGAAGGCGTAACGGACTGCGCAGGCCCTGGAATCACGGTCCAGTCAATCGAGGATTTGCACATCACAATTCAATTATCCTCTGTGGCGCAATTGGCTAGCGCGTCTGACTGTTACAGCTTGCAGTCATCAGGAGGTTGGAAGTTCGAGCCTTCCCGGAGGAGTGAATTTTTTTGGCTGGATGTGCGGCAAGATGATACATTGGTGTGGGTTGACGAAGGAGTATATTTTTGAGATGCTAGGGTTGTGGGTAGTGGCATGGAGTGACAGCTACCGAGGATCCACATGGCTGCGGCTTACATAACCGGTAAACGTCATAGATTAGCGCTATGGCCACGCTCCTTCCTGCGCGTCCTAACAACAACACCACGCGTCGACATATACACAAGACGTCGAAAGCGGCAGTTCATACCGCCATAACGCGATATAACGCGTGCTTCAATGTGATCGCGATATTGTTCGTTTCAAAATTCTCATTTGAAGTCTTTTGCCGCCTGACTGCCAAAGCTCTCCAGGGCTAGCACTATCCCAACGCACACTCCATACCAACCACCAAGCCTATGCTCGCCCACACACCATGCTATAATGTCACCTTCTTCCGATAGGCCTTGGGAAGTTGAGTCAATTTGGCCCTCCGGTCTTTCCACGGGCAACCATCCTTAACTTCGTGAGCGTCTTGCCTCCTCTTACGCCGGTCTCACCGCTAGACCCCTTGTCTCACTTGACACATCGTCTTCCTTGACCCAATCCTCGTAAGCTTTTGCATTATCACGGTCTCTGCGTGCTCGCTGTCTCTTGGCTTTCTTGGTATCTTTTCGGCGGGGTCGGGCGTGGGTCGTGGTAGGTGGACATGGTGGAGACTGCCCTACTTCCTGGCCAGTATCCTCTTGTTCGACACCAGGCTCCTTCTCGAGGCTTCTCTGGAACGCGGCTTGGTCTTGCAGCTTCCGGTATCGGTTCTTTTGAGGTTCGGTCATCCTTTTCTCCTTCTTCAACAACCTCTGTTCTTCCGTCTTGTCTGCCACAGCTGCATCGTGCTCAGCCTTGAATGACTCGAAGATGGCCTTCCACTCGACCTTGACATTTGGGTAGTTGTTGCGTGCGTTCTTGACGTCGAGGTTGTAGCCCGCTAGGTATGGATGCACGGCGCATCCCTTAGGGGAGATGCACTGAAAGCGCTGCCCACAGATCACGACCTCGTCGTATGTATCTGACTTCTTGTCCTTGTCGATGACGGGAGCGAGACACCAGCAGAAGTGCAGCGCGCTAACACATCTGATTGATGGGCCGCCGCCACACTCCTTGTCTTCGCAGTGATGCTGTGGTTGGCGAGGTCAGTGTTTTCTCTCAACATAGGTCTTGTCCCTCCCGGCTACCTACAGCGCTGCTCATTCTCTCTTTGGTACGAATGTTTCTCATCATGGCGGCGTTGCTGTCGTTCTTGATATAGTGGCCGAATATCTCGTCCAGGTCCAAGGAACTCTGTCGCGCGTAGTTGGGCATCTCTGTGGCGATTTCATTCGATGTTTACTAGATCGTAGAGGTTTATGGGTAGCGCAATCGAGCAGATAGAGTCGGGAAAGTCGCGTAGGTCAGTGAGGTTGTACCTTTCGTCGGCAGAACGAGGGGCCACTATTGGTTGTTGCAAGAGTTGTACGCCTTTACTACTCGGCTAATAGGCACTATTTACATTGTTATTGTCGTGGTTGCTGCCTATCGATATACTCGGCTCAGGCTGCCTCGCTCGCTCCGAGTATCGCCGACATTGTGGCTATCTATCCCTACGAGCTTCACTGGAATCGTATCTGCCGAGAGCCCCCTGAGTACATCCCCACTCAAGGGCATGATGATCGGCCGCTGCGAGCCGTCACTCGAGCTCTGACCGGCCCACATCACGATAACCTACTAGTTGTTCTTCTAGCAGTGATTGACACACGACGATGCATATATAATGACTGAATCGTTAATCAAATAACACTGGGTTGCTCCTCCCCGATCCCACCCCCGAAAGAAACACACCGCATTAGACACCCCCGTCTTAGTACACTTATACATATACTAGAATCCTAGGCTCCTAGCTAGGCTCGCATGAGGAAGCATAGTCGAGGTCTCAATTGTATATGTAAGATGACAGTCTTTATCAAGATCGTACTCAAAGTGTTGGTAGTTACAATTAGGTGTTACATCCCGCAGCGCACATGTTACAAGAGACGAGGAGTAAAGATTATATGTAGTAAGTAAGACTATGCTCCATGCAACTTTATCTAAACCTATGTCATTTTCTTACTACATAAAATGATATGTACGATGCGTAATATTGCCTATCACAATAGACTTGATGATACAAAAAAGCCTTCGGCCAAGAGCAGTGTGGACAGCAGCTACCGCATCAGCCATGAATTGCGCCAAAGAACAGAGCAGAACGTCACACGGTGGAAGCCTAGTTACTATCTCTACATCTAGCCAAAGTAAGAAGATACAATTAACATACACTAACTAACACTCTAATACTCTTGATCGAGTAGTTGAAAGAGACGTATCTGCCTCGGTAGCGCAACGTAGCGTCCCTTGGTCCTCTCGTCCATCAATCCGCACGTGTTTCCCACTCTTTTACGACACATGCTTCCTTCGAAAGAGAGCGCTACTTGGGCCTCGTAACATCTTCTTCAGCTCCTGGTTTTCGTGTGCATTCCATTGCCAGCTCCAACAATCCTTGCCATCCGTTATGAGTTTCCAGATCTCTGATAAATGTCGACAATGTTACTATGGTATCGACATCCGTCTCCAGTTTGTACGGGGTTGCTGTCGTATGAAAACCGAACCTATCGCCCGCAGTCATGCGTAATTTGCTGCTTATAGCTTCTACCATCTCCATTGATCGTTGCTGGATGTCGTAAATAAGTCGAGAAACGTCCCTGGAAGCATAGGAGGTGAGTAGTGGTACATCGATTGATGCAGTCAGTGCTGGATCACCGATCTGCATCCCCTTGTGGCGAAATCTCCATGAGAAGCCAAAAACTGCATGAGTGGCGCAGGTAGTGACGCATCGTGAATCGCAAGCTTCAACTAGAGCTCTCGTGGAAAGAGAGTCCACTGATTCAACATACCAGGACAATCCGACTGATACGCCACTTTGCCCAGAAATGGTGCGCCATCGCGGAGTGTACATTGCGACTTCGAGAATACCGTCTTCGCAATGCTTAAAGGCTCGGGACGTTTCTGTAGCCATAGAAATCTCCAGGAGCGAACCTCCAGTGCGCGCGTACCGACTGCCATCGGCACCGCGTGGTTGCATAGACGGGGCTTCCATCAGTCTCAGACCAACGTAACCGCCCATGTAGTCGTCTCTTTGTCCTTCGATAACATAACGATTGTACTGTTCGGCAAATTTGAAAAGGGAAGACTTGACAATGTCTAGCGCTAGAATTTGCTGGAGGAGCTGCCATACGCTGAGGTTATAATGGGCGATACTGATAAGCCTCAAGTCTTTTTCAGTTCCTTCCAGTAGACCAAGCAAAGCGAAAACACCGTCTAGAGGGACTGATCGAGGTAACATTCCAAAAGTCTCGAATAATCCCTCAAAGGTCTTCCACTCACTTCGATAGTTGAGGAGAGCGAACATGTTATATTTAGTTGGCGTTATTCCAGTTGAACTGTCGAAGAGAAGAGCACCTTGCATAATCTTATCCAGTTTACTGTAGGAAAGTTTGTCTTTTCCTAACAATAAGTGGACGTCCTGTGCAAGAATGAATTCCTGAACGATCCACATCCGCGACCAATACTCGGCTTTCGCAATGTACTCTAGCTGAGATCTTTGTCGTTTACGTTGGCGTTCATCTCTCAGGCACCAAAAGTACAACTCGCTTACGTACTGTCGGTTGAAAATGCCAGTATGAGGCAACGATTTGTCGTAGCCGAGCCAGCTGTAAACGCACTTGGCACCAGAATATATTCGTTTCATCTCTTGAACTTGATGACTCCGCTCTTGAATGTCGTCCTGGTTGATGCATATGGCATCTAGCCATATAACTCGCGGCTGGTAACGGCTGCGGAAAGCTTTCAAAAAGCGGAAGAGATTGTCTCGCACTTGAAAGGGCCCGCCATCCAGAAGTATAGATCTTTTCGGCTCGGGCGGACCCCAGACATAAGAGCCAGCGATATATTGGTCTCGTTCGCGTGAGATTGAAGACGTGAATGATTCGCATCGTAATGGAGAACCTTGGCGCAGGCTAGGCAGCACGCGCAGAAGTCGAAAGCTGTCACCGTCATGCAAAAGAGGCGAGTATCGGGTAGAGGCAGCCTTCTGGACCTGCGTTGGGTTGGCAGGGACATCGGTGCTTATGTTGTTTGTTGACATAGCGAGCAACTCTCGCTGAAAGGTAGATTCCGAGCTTCCACTGTTAGGCGCAAGACAGTAGCATCGATTGAAAGGCGTAGTGAGGAGGTAAAGTAGGCAATCAGAAAGGAGGCAGTACGGTTGAGCAATCCTAGAAAACTTGGCAGCTGACATTGGGCCAGTACCGAGGCGACACGAATCACACCATCCGCATGAAGCTACAGCATGTACAACGAAAACATGACGTACACCTCCATAGCGACTTGGAACTCAGAATACCGCGTTGAGTTGTTAGTCCCCAAACTCGATGAACTCGCCGTTCCTTCCTCCCGACAGCTGTTCCGCCTTCTTCTCCCATTGTCCCATAAACCACAATGGCCAGCCTCTCGCTCGTTTCCCATACGCCCGTCGCAGGGGCTTCGACACAGAGTGTGCAGTCTCGAGGTATGTCGCCCTAAATGTATTCCACAGCTGTCTACCTTCGTCGTCTGTAGCAGCAGGATCGGGGAAGTATGGATCGTTACAGGTCACCGCTGTGACTAATCGCTGTATGGCGGCTTCGGGTCGGTCGAAGGAGAGTAGCGAGGCTTTGTCGAAATCGAGGATGTAAAGGCGCATTTCATCTGACCAATGATGTGTTCGGTCCCATCGGTTCTGTCTCCAGCTGGGTTTCGACATCGGGGCGCCGAGAACGAGATTCGGGGGCTCGGAGGAGCAGAAGGGCTCTGAGGTTTCCAGCTCGCTAGCAAGAATGACTTGCTCCCCATCCCAGTTATTTTCTCCTCCAAGTACAAACTCGATATCCATACCGTCTACGAGGGCATGCCAGTGTATGATAGCCAGGCCTGTAGCCATTTCTTTTGCCAATTCCATCGCCAAATTGTCGTCGAATGGGAATGATCTGAGGTCCTCCCTTGTTAGAGGAAAGTTCCAAAGATGTTCCGACCTGCACAACGGTTCGTCCTTGCGTGTTGCCAGTCCAAGATATGGCCGTACAAGACAAAAGTCGTTCTCGGGATTGGCGAATACCGCGGCCTTGGATGTAGTGAACTCGTAGCGCGTCATCAGAGCCTGCCGAAGCTCAGGGCCTAATGTAGGGATAAGGGACAGGGAAAACAGGAACGGTGCCGTCTTCCTGTCTTCGGCTTCCGTGAAACAGCCAGCGAATTGTGCCCAGAAGTCTTCTTTAGCTTCATCTGCCATCCAGCCCTTGATAGCTGGCACCCTGGGAGTGTAATCTTTGATTTTCCAGCCGCGTTCTGACTCCGTCAACGATCGATGTACGTGAGCCGTCAGCCGTATATCATTCCATAGTGCGTCTCGGTCCCGGCCAATCTTGTATGCAGCCGTGGAGAGATCCACGCAGGTATAGATGGTGCCGCATGTGCCGCGACCGATAACGTGGAGATCTATGGGGTTGTCGCCCAATGCGCGCGCTGAACTCGTTTGGAAGCCGTCTCGAGGGTTATCGTTCGCGTGTTCGTGCTCTGCTTGCGCCATGGTGGCAGCTCTGCGAGGAGAACAGGTGGTCTAGGTTGCTATTAGAGTATCTGCAAAGTTTACGTTGTATTCTTCGACAGATGCGATACAGTTGCTAGATATTAGCCAGGCGCAGTTGACTCAGAAGGCGAGCCATGGTTCCAGGGTTCGTTCTAGCATGATTCTCCAATCCAGGCATGCCAATTGGAGCGCGCGCAGACGTTACGCATAGTGTATTCATCGGTCGTGCTAGAGTAGATGTATAGAGTCGTCAGGTTGCGATAGCTTGCATGTGTGAAGCCCAGTTCGCGCTCGCATGCGCGTGGATCAGTCCGCGTTCTGGGGCCGTGCCCAGGCTAGACTAGAAGCGTCCCGCACGTGACCACGTGACAACGATGACGCCGTCTCAGAACCTGCTACTAAGCGCGGCGAATGTCTGTCATGGTGCAGGTTTATATCGCTGTTCTACACACGTGAGTTATCCCTCGATTAGGATCAACAGACGTTTTTGTACAAGATGTAAATTACAGGACCTCGCATTGCGCTCGATGCATCGAAGAACATCGAGGCTCGTACATCGTGAGCGTACAGTTTTTACATACATCATCCGCATGTCTCATGCATGCTTCTACTTCATAATCCACAGGCCACTTAGCATATTTTCATTCCTCCACAAAGAACCTGGCTGCAAAGACGACATCGTTCTCGCTGAACACTCCCTGCCTCTCACTCTTCACCTGCCTCAGAATGCCCTGTTTGTTCTTCTTGTCCTTGCTCTCCGCGTACGCAATAACACAATCCCTGTTTAGCGGTGGGTTGCTGTTCGTCTTCAGACGTGTGGGACTGCGAGGCTCCTTCGGTAAGGTGCGGTGGAGGTTCTTGCGTTTCTTCGTAGCCGAGGATTGAGGTGTAGAGGGTTCGTGGCGCGCAAGTTGAGGTGTCGTCAGATTTGAAGTGAGCTTCACTGGTGACGGGGTTTCGTTGCCGCGACGTGATCCGCGCAAAGGTTTGCGTTCCGGTGAGCCATCTGCTTGCGGAATAGGAGCAGGAGACGATCTAACAGGTGCTTGAGGTGACCGGGTGTATGAAATTGGCTCCATATCAGGCTCAGGAGTTGTATGTAGGCTGGATAGAGGGGAAGATGTAGCAGTGTCCCAGATCTTAGAGTTCTGGACGACCGGTATCGCGATCTTGGACGATGGAGCTGCGTCAGGCGTGTTTCTCGGTTTGACGAAAGAGCGAGATCGACGTAGTCGCGCAGATGCTTCACGAAGTATCTCTTCTGGATCTTCGAACCAGAATGGATTTGCCTTTGGGCCTTGTACACCAAGAATGTTGTTGCTAGAAGTTGTACGACGCGAGAGTCTTGATTCGGTTGCATGTATACTCTGGTTGCTTGAGTCAGGCCCCAGCTGGTCACCATGCAGCTTGACCTCCTCTACTTCAGGTCGTTCACCCGTTAGGATGAAGTTCTTGACAGTAGATGCGGGTTGTTTCAACACAACATTCGGTTGGAAAGCGCTGGTCTCTTGTGGGTTGTCGATAGCGAGGGGCAGGTCAGTCTTCGCGTGCTCTAATGGCGATGTAGGCGGCGGCGTTCCCATCCGGACCGTACCTTTTCTTGACCCGCGAAATTCGGTGCTTGTCTTCTCTGAACCAATAGATCTTTTCTGTTCATCATCCCCTGGGGCTATGTCGTGTCGAGCCGGATTCTGTGCGGGGCGATTGGAAGCCAATTTCAAACGCAGTTCAGGCTCCCACCTATGATCCAGTATGATTGATCTATCTTGCCCATAAACTACCAAGCGTCTGACCACGATGTTGGAATTTGTCTTCACCGACTGTTTTGGAGGAGATTCTTTCTTCGGAGAGACGCTTCGTTTTGGCTTTGTAGGTACTGAGTAGAAAGCTGCTGGCGGTAACGGCAGGGACAGTCTGCGGTCAAAAGGCGGAAATGACAGTTGTGGTGGCTGAGAAGTCTGGTATTCTTGGGGGTTTGCGACTTGCGGTAACATGTTTGGTTTGTAGCTCTCGGGAGCTCCGCAGAAGTTGGGCCCCATACCGAACGTGGTATAGTCTTGACGCGTGTATTGGCTTTCGGGTAAGCCACCACGTGGTTCTCCAGACGGAGAACCCGCATGCAGCCTATGCCTTGAGGGTGCGTGTCTGAGTCCTGGTGTATGTGTAGGAATAGGTGATGCGTACTGGTAACCTGGGCCCTGAAAAGCCGTGGGAAAGCGATCAAGCGGACTAGACGTCAGACCGGTGTTGTCGCCCGGAATCTGACGCATGAGATCACTGGGTGCAACTCCTCCCAGCGTTGGATCCGAGAATCGAATCGTATATGGCGATGGGAGCATGTGAGTCGTGTGCGAGTTTGGGGTCAGATCTGGATAAATCATCTTCGGGGTGAACCCTGCACGCGACGTGAGCTCCGCTTCTGAGATGTGTACTGCGTCCTGCGTATGCTCTTGTCCAGTCTCCGATGCACGCGGTGCGTTGGAAGGGTCCGCACTTCTCCGAACTGATGAATACGCAAGTCTTGGATCTGTCGTGTTTGGTGCAATAAGTACTGGGACGTTCGACCTAACACCATTGGGTGGTGGGTTCGACGCTGTCAAATGTTCCATGGTCAGAGCGGATGGCAGCACAGGTGACACATCCCGCATCGTCTGCACTCCGGACCGGAGAGCCCGTCTCTTTGTATGCGACCCATACTCTGGATCGCTGTCTCCTTCTGCATCCACATCGATGACCTCTGAGCTCGGCTCGATGGTATCTTGAGGTTCCGTCTCACTCTCGCTCTTGCTAGGAGCATCGACACGTAGTTGCATAGTCCTGCCGTCGGCTTCAAGCACGAACGGGTAACTCTCGTCGATCATGCGCTTCGGTGCCTTCAGATAGCCCACGCCACTAGTGAGCTTCCTACCCTCTCCAGATGTGATGACCACGTCAATGACTCCGAACGTCTTTCCACCTGGCCTTTGCATAGTGTGTTCTTGCTCCGGCATCTGCGTTGTCGCAAGCGCGTTGAGGAACTCGGCAGTGGGAGGAATGTTGCCTTGTTCGTCGGTACCCCGCTCGCGTGCTTCAGCTTGGAGCGCCTGACCAATGTGTTGCCATCGCTGTTCTACCGAAGGTGGTGTGTTGTTCTTCACAGTACTGCCATCTGCGGCGACTCCGGGTGGTAGGATGATCCATGGCCGCTCAGCGAGAAAGTCGACTCTAGTGCCCGCGAAGACCTGGTGATGGTCTTTCGAGCCAGATTTGCCGTCATAGTTGGGCATGGCCAAACATGCGGCGAGTGTTCCATTGAAGAAGACTTCGATCTTGAGCGATGTTCTCTGGTTGTAGAGGCCGGAGACATAGGTCTGATCGGAGAGGTTGACGTGGAGGGTAAGTGCTTTCAGTGTGAGCTGCGAGACATCTGAGAAGCTATCGTTAGCCGCGGTGGTGCTATTAGTATTAGGCAGAAGGTACGCACCCTTCGGCGCACCCTGTGCGTCCCCAGGAGCTTCCTCTTTGTATATGTCACTCCCGACCCGGGTCTGCATAAAAGGCGCTTTTGCGAGCCAGTTGAGCTGGAAGGCGGCGTCATCACCGGGGAAAGGCACCTGCTCTTCCTTCAATAGCTTGCTCCTCAACAGCCTCTTTTCAGCTAATGCAGACTGCTGCTTGGCTGCCTCTCCCTTTCTCAGTATGATCTTTGCTGTAGTCGTATCACCGAGCGGAATCGCGCCCAGGCGCACCGAGACGCCACGCGCGAAGTAGGTAGGCATATTTGCAGGTGAAAGAATATACACGTATTATGACATGGCCGTCGCCAGAGGCAATGCCGCACTGCCAGGCAATGGGGTATTCTCGAGTCGGTTGGGTGCGGTAAGGCCGTCTAGAGCGTGTCGAGCATGGTGGGGGTGTATGGGGGACGCGTTGCGGTGACCGAGCGCTGCTGAAATCGCGTGACGTATATCGTGGGCTTCCGTTTCCGGCAGGTACCTCCAGTGCTCTTTCCGCGCACTCGTCCTCACCGCCGTGGCCAGACTTACGTCTATGAAAATTCTACCTGACGTATAGCAATCTTAAATGTACCCAGGTGTCATGATAGTGGATTTGGTCAAGAGAATATACACGCGATGAATAGAAGTGATAAAGAAGCGAATCGAGCAGCTTTGAGAGAACCCGACGCGCCAGCAGACCATGTAGAGAGAAGACTGAGAGTAATCATCCCAATCGCAATGAGTCTATCCGCACGAGGAGATACTTACACAGAACGCCTAGATTGCGTAGAATTTCGCCTCAAAAGGGTACGCAGCTGACGGCAGCCGACACCGTGCATCAGAGCTCGATTTCACCCCCGGACTCAACGAAGCCTCCGCCGCTTCTTTGCTGCTCGGTGCCATTGACCCCCCAATCGTCGGTAATGATGCCAATCGGTGGACCGCCTAGGACATCGCCTAACTCGCCTATAGTCTTTTCGTACACACTCGCAACACCGCGCTCTTCCCAGTCCTCATCTTCCTCATCGTCGTCGTTGTCCTCGAAGCCTTCAAAGGTCACAGTGCCTTGACGTCCACCTGCGTCTGCCTCTCCCTCCGTGTCCGTGCCCGTGTCCATGGCCTCGCCCACGTCTTCCCCGTCACCGACCACGCTGTCTCCACTCAGTACACGGGCGACCGTGAGCCTGGTCCGGTCTACAACGCCCTTCAAGCGAACCTTGTCTGTTGTGGTGACTGTACGACCATTCTCAAACCCAGGTAAGAACTCTCCGGTCGCAGTGTCGTGCCCGGTAAGTAGGGATGAGAAGGCGTAGTCGAGTTTTGAGAGCAGACGGAAAGTTGCCTGAGCGGAACGCGTTGAGGAACCGAATAGCGGGAGAAAGTCGGCGGTGAGGACGGCGAGGTTGAGCAGATAGGGTATCTGGAGGTTCGGTGATCCGGATACCCAGACAACATCTACCAGACCATCGAGGTCTTTTGCGACTTCCCAGAACGCCGTGTATCCTTCCTCGCCCGGCGCCGGCTTGAGCTTTCGCTTCGTCATGCGATTGTCCACCCGCTTCTGGATGCTGTTGACGCCATGGTCGAGGTAGCGTATCAGATCAGATTCCCTCGGGCCGCCGGGCTTCAGCGGGTGTTTGCGTGCTTGTGGGAGGGGCGACGCGTGCTGTGACGGCGCGGACGAAGCTGGAGGAGTAGGAATATCGGCCATACTAAACACCCTGGAGCCTACGTTGACGTTAGATCGCCTTCTTTGTACACTGTTATCTTGTTGTAGGCTGCAGACCTGTTCAGGTTTCCTGTTATACAAGGCGATAATGTGTATATGGTTCCAGGGTTTTGTTCACCGTCACGGTGGTAGGTGAAGACGCAAGGCAGTGGGCGAGGGGTGAGGTGCAATCGTCATTCTACGCCGTAGGGTGAGCGCGTTCTTCTTCGTCGCGTGCAGGATCGACCCGCATCGTGAGTTTTGAGCTGAGAAGTTGAGCTGAGAAGTTGCACTGGTGCTGCGATAGCTGAGCGCGGAGCTCCTGATGGCGAGATGACGTTCGCGGAAGGTTCCTCCGTCATCCCAGCCCGTGCCCTGGATCATCCCGCAACACCACCTGCATCGCATCGACAACAGAGTATCGCCCAATTGTCGCCAAACCTCCGACACCGCATCTACCTCTGCCGTTGCTTACCATCAATCTGTTGGTGGGCTTTGTTTTGTCATCAGGTACTCCTATCACCGGAGAACCTGCAGTAGCTGAGGCAACGACAGTCACGCTCACGGCTTTTCCAACGGACACAGGATACGTTTCCGCTAGGAATGCGATACGACGGAAAACTTGCATGCTTCGGAATAGCATGCCATCGGAGTTCAGCTGCTATGCCGTGTATCTCACAGCAAAGTAAGCCGCTGCCGCCATCGGCCCGTCCTGAGTGGCCAGGAGCAAGACAAGGGCGCTGATTAATCACCACCGCGCCCTTCTCCAACGCGTGCGCGTGCGCCCTACATGCAAGTTTCATACGTCCGCGACGCCGATATGCATGTCTAATTAAGCCGCCAACAATCAACCATGTCAGTATACTTATGATGGTCCACCAGGCGTCGCCCCTTTTCTAGAAGTTTTCTTAGCTGCAAGAAAGGGAAAATTTGCTAACAAACGCAACTTCGGAGAGCCCCGATTGTTGGATGAGGTTGAAACGCGACGTTTATTGACTCTACCACTTAACGGCATAACGTTGAAAATTTGCAATGAAGCCTATGACAAAAGGTATCCACCCGTCGTGTACTCTCAGCGCGAGTAGTCAGGAACGTGTCGCGCTTGTTCAACTTTTGTGGCATGAGAACCTGTAGGGCTGGTTTGAGGCACATAACTGACCGCCAGAGTACCGCTATGGTTGGTGGGCGGGCCGCAAGCTAGCACGTTCGCGACGGGCAAGATCACAGAATCTGAGAAAAGCACATTCGAGACCATGTAACTTGTGGAGACGTCCTGATGTCGTCCAGTACTCAGCTTTGCGGAAATGTAGAGACAGGCACCTGTATGGGCTTAGCGCACGACGCTATTGGAGTCAAGGGCGTGGTTTGTGATGGATGCAGGATGACTCCCCCGCGTATCCGACGGCAAAGCAAGCCATCGCTCAGCGCATCATCCATCTGCAGCATGCAACCTTCTCATCACCTACCAGCCCTAGTTTTGTGCCGCTTGCAAATGACTCAACCCAGGGCGTGCCTGAGTGCCATGTATAAGACAACCTTAAGGCCCACTTGTTTGTGGTGCAGTCCTGGAGCAGACGTCTTATCTTCACTCGCCACCTACTAGTCTGATCTCTGCCTATTCGCACTACCCCAGCTGCCCAGCTCTCAGCTTCTCCGCATTCGAGACGTCTTATCTGAGCAGGCTTGTTCCCCGCTTTCTGGTGCGACCTCGCCTTGGCTATTGCGACTAGCAAGCCGACCTTAAGGCACGCGACAGCATCGACATGTCTTCTCCATCGAACACATCAGTGTTTGCGCCACCAGACAGGATGCAGGCGCTGGGCAATCAAATCGGCTACAAGGTCCGCAACATCTCGCATCATGGCCAGCCTACCATCGTGATCGATCTCAACGACAGCAATGGCCACTGCTACAAGTTCATCACAAGCTATTCTTCCATGGATACTATCGAGGGCACAGTCACCATCACTGCACCGCACGATACTCGTTTTGAGGATATCGACATTGCATTCACTGGTAAGCATAGATCATGCACGAACTTAGCAATGATCGTATCTGACAGCACACAGGTACAAGCCAGGTATATGTGGATAGGATGACGACTACGCCAACAATGACAGGACGAACAGAGGCAAAGCACCGGTTTTTGACTCTTAGACAGCCAATAGACCAATCAAACTTCCCCTCCCCAAGAATTTTTGAAGCTGGAAGACCCTACAAGTTTCCCTTCACGTTTACCATCCCTTCGCAACTACTACCAAAAGCCTGCTCGCATACAGTAGTCTCGGACCACATACGCGAAGTACATCTCTCACTACCACCCAGCATTGGCGATCCCGATCTTGCTGGTTTTGGCAGTACACTGCTTGACGACCTTGCACCGGAAATGTCAAAGATCACCTACGGAATCCAAGTCAAAATCGCGCACACCCGCGGATCAGAAGGCATCTCGGTGCTTGCTGATAAGCTGAAGAAGGTGCGCGTGAAGCCAGCCTTTGCAGAGCAGCCCCCGCTGAACATTGACCACAATGACGAGTACCGATCGCGACAGGAAAAGACAGTCAAGAAGGGTTTGTTCAAAGGAAAGCTCGGGACATTGTCTGCGAAGACTATTCAGCCGCCGCCTCTTGTCATTCCGGGCGCAAGATCAACAGAGGGCAGAACGATCACGACTATGGCCAAGTTAGTTCTACGTTTTGATCCCACAGAGGAGACCAGCGCACCACCGAAACTCGGTTCATTAGGAACAAAGATGAAGGTCGTGACCTACTACGCCTCAGCTCCTAGGCAGAATCTACCGACGCGGTCTACGCTCGGGTTCGATCTGTCGCAAGGCCTGTACTCCGAGTACGTGCCGCTGTCCAATCTTTGCATCGCCTCCGCCCAATGGGAAAAGCACGATGCGGCACAAAACCCTAGCCCAGAAAGCCTAGTTCGACGCGACTCTGGTATTAGCGATTGCTCAACTCTGAGCGAAGCGGAGAAGGCCTTTGCGATTGGCATACTACCTGCATCCAAGGATTACAAGCAAGGTGCCTTCTACACAGCACAGATCTTGGTGCCAACCACCCTTCCTATGACACAAAACTTTATACCGACATTCCATTCCTGCCTCATCTCACGAACATACACCCTCGCGCTGCAGTTCTCCGCTCACGGAAGCTCGAGTATACACCTCAAGGTCCCGATCCAGATCTGCGCCGAAGGCAGTGACACTGGTATTGAGAATGCTAGGGCGAGGAGTGTCGAGGAAACGGCATTCAGGGCTGCCTCTGATGTGTTTGCACCACGCAGTGTTGCACCTCCAAGCCCAGAAACGGCTCGCAGCGCGAGTGTTGGCACGCGTGAAGAGATGCCGCCCGGCTATTCAGCTTTTGCGCCGCCCAGCACGAGGTACAGCGTGAGCCATTCTATCGTGACCTGAAGATGTCCCAGGTTGTCATGGTTGAACCAGTGACGGGATCAAGATAATTTTGTTGCGCAACAAACTGACGATTATCGAGCGATGTTTTTCTTGGAAACGGACCTTGCTTTTCGGCGTTTTGGTAGGGAAGAGTGGCAGGGTTTTCATTCATCGCAGCGCAGCTCATGCTCTCTTTGGGTCGCCTTTTTCTATCGTTAGATCGCTCACCAGATACCCATACACATAGTAATGAACTTAATACGTTGTCATTCTCATCCTAGTTGCATCCTCTGTTCTTGCCCATTTCTGAGTAATGGTGTCATGATGTCTTGGCACGTCCGTGCTAGCCCCGGACAGCTTCCCAATCACCTCATCTTGTGGAACCGCATCAGCACACCATCACGCACAAGCATCGCTTTTCATCAGACCAACGTAAAGAAACAATGGCAGAGCATCCGTCTTTCACATTGGCAGGCTTGTGTAAGTGTCACGACGCCATCTGCGTGTCTAGTTGTATGAGAGCTGACCGAGAAATGATGTGTAGTGGCGGTCGGAGGAACTGCTGGCTATCTCCGAACACGCTCAACACCAAGCCTTGTCGCTGGAATCGGATTGGGTGCTTCGTACGCTCTTGCTGGTAAGCTGTTCAGCCCATAGGACGTGTTTCTGGCTGCATTGAACGTATACAGCTGCTTGTGGGCGCTTCAGCTAACCTGCGATCCAAGGCTACCGTATCAAGCAGAACCAGGATTACGGCACTGAACTTGCGCTTGGCAACAGCATCATGTTGATGGGCTCTGCGATACCGCGCATCATGAAGACCGGCGGACGCGCGCCTGTGCCGATCGCTCTGGGTGCGACTGGTGCGCTGGCGACTTACTACTACCAAAAGAAGGTGCGCGAGTTCAGGTATGGTGTCTGAGAAGCACTCGGTCTCTTTGGAAAAAAGGACTATCATTGAACGGCGATGGCGCCTTGTACAACTACTCAGGGTGGCTATATACTACCCTGCTCTACTCTTGAGTATCAATACCCCACTCCCATTCTCTTCTACTGAGTATGTCCTTATCCGCGCCGTTTCCTCATCTCCGATGCCCTCGAGCTTCGGGCTTCGCTGCGCAATCATCATCATACCATCAAGCTGTACCCACGGACCTGGTGCCATCCAGTACCGCAGTGTTTGATATATGCCAAAGCAAGACGACGATAGCACGATCGCGAGGACGGCAACGGCTACCCACTCCCAGCTCAGACGCGGACTAGACCCGTACAGTTGCCATTGAATGGGATAGGATACAATCTTATCTTCCGATTTGGAAGGCAGAGACGACGGAAGAGGAGACCAGTACTTATTACTCATGCTGAGGATGTTCTGGAATAGGATCCCCATAACGATCGACAGGCCCATGGCGTCGGAGTTCACAAGTGGATCGATTGCCTGTAGGTTGCGACTCATCAATAAGAATTGCGGCAGTAATCTAGTCGATGGAACCAATAGCTCAAGCCTCGGCATGACGTCCCGTGCCTGCATACCTACTCCATTGGCAACATCAAAGTCGCTTGCAGTTGCGCGGTCGTAAACGATCTTCTGGTTCAATTCAGCGCCGTAATGGTTAAAGCTAAGGTCGGGACTTTCCCTATCCACGATCCACACATTGACTGCGTATAATCCATGTCGGAACAAGCTGGAACAAGTGGCACCGGCAAAGCCTAGGGATGGGACTGGCCCAAAATCGGTCATGATCACCGCTTCCGACGATTCGTTTCTAGCTGGCGGCCGGACAAGGATTGATGCCTCCGGGTTCAATGACTCCATTGGCGTGCAGACAGTGTTCAGCACCGGTAGTACGAGCGTCAAGTTACCGGTCCAACCGATCGATGAAGATGTTGGCTGATGGTCCGCGTCCTTGAGCCAGTTGTAGACACTGGTTACTTGCCCATCGTCTGCGGAGGCCGTCTCGACTGACCCATTTGATAGGCCGAAATCGGTATTGAGTGCAGTCCAGCGCTTCCATGGATCTCCGTCCAGCCGGTAATTGTATACATGTCTCCAGCCTTTCTGCGATTCCTTTACCGTGGACACAACATGCGTTAAGCCGGCGAACGCGAGAGAAGCGGACATGCCGAGCGCCCAGTCCCATGGTGGGTAGCCTTCCCCTCCAATATTGGATTGGCCGACACCGAGGATGTTTAGCCAGTCCACGCCGAGGAGTGATACTTTAGGATGCTCGATCCTCATTGTCGTTCGGTCCTGTGCCGTCGTTTTCCAACGTTTCTGATAGACAGGATACCAACGCTTCTTCGGTATAGCCACAGTGTTCACGGCCAAGCCTTGCAACATAACCGAGACAGATACGCAAAGACAAAGCAAACAGCGGGCAACGCTTTTCCAGCTCAAGCTAGACCTTCGCCACCTTGTGGCAAAGTTGCTAACAGTCATCCACGGCTTCGTCAACTCCTCTCTCAAACCAAAGTCGCTGTACTTCACACCGCGTCTATCACCCACTGCTGTAGTCTGTGCCATCCAGACTGTGATGAAGAATGAAGCCATGTATTCCAAGGAGCTCACCAAGAGGACATCGAGGCTCTTGTTAAAGAAACCAAGAAAGGCTAGCTTCAGATCCGCATCCACTTCTTCACCGAACACACGGGTCAGGCCTATGGAGATGTATGTGCGCATCGCTCCGAGCGAGATCCCGGTTACTACAATTCCGATGACGGATACGCGAATGGCCAGCATCCAGTAGTCGGCGAATTTCAAGCCCGGTCGGGTCGCCACAGCTGGACGGTGTCTGATCTTGGCGTATATATCCTTGGCGACTACCACGACTATTTCTCTGATGGCATCGTCAGTTCGAACGAGATGCAGCTGCCGTACTCTTACTTCAAGGCTATCAGTATCGCTTTGTAGCCGCGCATCCTATTTGACAAACTCTTCGCTGGGGCCTTGGGAGTCATATTCTCGATCTGTGTACAAACGGCGCCTTCGCCGCTACCCGTCAGTTGCGAGGCTGTTGGTTCTCACGAGCAATATCAACACGACACTAAAGGCTCAAGGGCGGCTATATCTTCCATGGTAAGCATGCAAGGCTGAGAATGTAGCGAGGCTGGAAGATATCCCCACGGCGTATTGGCTGCATGCATGACAGCCACAAACTGCACGAATGCTCTTATTTGTGCGACAAGACATCCGCGACTTCCACGAATCACACCTTCGAGAGAAGTAAAAGCCTGTTTTTTCACCGTTGATAAGGGTTGAGTTTAAGAATACCAATCACACACAGGCACAAGAGCAACGCGTCATCCAAGCCCGCGGATACTAAAATAAACGACTGCGACTCTTTTCACGAGCTGCTGAACGCGTCGCAAGCTTTGAATGGGCTGGGATTGCCAGAACCCATCCCCATAGGAGTGACGTGTGAGCCGAGCGTGCCACGGCCGCCTTCCGCGCGTCCCTTCCTCGCCGCATGGCCAACAAGCGGCTCCCACTTTCTTTGCGCAAACCCCGTGATAACCGCCAAGAACACCGCTTGCATCAGTATAAATCCACATGCACACCATCCATCGGGTATATGCCAATAGTGTATGTCTGTCTTTCCGCTCCGACAGGCTCGTTCGAAACCCCAGAGGCAATCCGGATGTTTGGAAAGACTTGGAGGATTCGAATCACCGCATAGCTAGCTTCCATCAATGCGTAATCCTCTATCCGGAATCAGCATTTCGCGACTCAGAAATACACATTTGTTCGCTTACTACCTAGACAGAGTCTTGGGCCGCCATTGAAGTCGACGAATCCAGCGCCTGGACGAGCCTTCTTAATCAACTCCCCACTCTCCCACCTTTCTGGCCGGAACACTCTTGCGTCTGGACCATAGATGGACTCAATACGGTGTAGGTGGTATACCGACCAGACGATCCCGGCACCCTTAGGCATGAGGACGGGGGAAGTGCCATCTGGGCCTCCGCCTCGGGGCACTACGGTAGCTTTGTTCGTAAAGCGGAGATTCATCGGCAATGTTGGGTACAGTCGCAAGACTACGTTCGTCAACGCGTGTCAGAAATCTGGCAAATGTGAAAGATGTTCAAGATGGACTGGGCTTCGAGACGTCAATGACATGCGCGTCGACACCACGTATCCAATATTCGATTATAGGTAATTACAGCAAGATTCTATCTACTCATGCGTGTTGAAGTCCTCCCCATTCAAGAAAGTCCAAACCCAATCATGACTGCCTTGCCGAGCTTGGTATTCCAGCTTGACGTTCATCGTCTTATTGAGCTTCCCCTTCATCTTGTCCAACCCATCTAGTAATTCCTTGGTTGCTTCAGCATTGTACCCATAGTACGATATCTGAACTTGGGTCAACGCCGGCAACTTCTTCAATTCCTTGGCAAAGTGTTTTGACATCCACCTTCGTAATATGTACTCATAGCGGCCAAATTGCAATTTATGGACAGCCTTTCGCTGAGAACTTGTCGCATGGTTGAGCCAATACATTAAACTGCCAAAGTGGTAAAAGCGAAAGACGCTGATATGGCGGGAGTACGCAGCAGCTTCCGAGCAGATCTGGCGGCTGACACGAAGGATGGCGAAGCGGTGCCTTGATGCGGGGAATTCAGACGCACGCTCTTCAAACACGGATCTATATCTGAGCGGTTTGAGAGGTCCACCCCATGCTGGGCGGATGATAGGGTTTCCAATAGCGAGCTTCCAGATCATGGCGCGGATTTCGGCAGGAAGTCGTAAGAGGGGCGATTCTTCGGCGTTTCGCTGCACACTACACTGGCATTAGTATTGCGAATTTAGATGTAGTGGCGCTGAGCTTACATAGCAATCTCGCTACCGATGGGTTTGACATTGAGTAGGCCGTCTGGGGATTTTCGGTAACCGCGCTTCCCTCGGCGAGGCTTGTCGTTAGGTGTGTCGATCTGAGGAGTAGTTTGAGCGGCCGACATGTTGAGTTCAAAGTATAATGGATGCGTTGGTAGGGCGGTGGAGAGAAAACAATCAAGCCAAAGATATTCTTTTATATCATAGCAAAGGGCTGCTTAGGGTGAAAGATCGCCCACTCTGGGATATGATAGATCTATACTGCTAGTGAAAGGAAATACGAAATGAAAAGAGTTTTGTGGGTAAGATGGGGTATTTGACTCGCACGTTCGCAATGAAACCAGACCACTTTCAGTGTACTTTTGCCAGAGGAGAAGAAAAATAGCAACCACCTCAACCCTTAGAAGTACAAGGGCTGTCTCTCACTCCTGACGAATTTGATCTCGCTGTTCTCTGTCTCATACAGACCTTTCATGAACTGCCAACCGCGTTCTTGCAGCTTCTTGCCATCTTGCGTGAAATCTCTTATCACTATGCCCACAACAAGCTGTACGTTCTTGAGAGAGGTCAAATTTGAAGACAGTCGCTTGTCTCCGTGGTCGACCATGATATCCCACATACCTGGTATGCCGTCGTGAAGGTCGAGCCATTGCTCCGGAGGAGAGGACGCTACGCAGGGATAGAGGCGTACCGAAGTGACAGCTTCAGCAAAAACCGAGGGAAAGTATTCGATCCACATATTGAACACTTGGGGATGTATAGCTGAGAAGGTGTTCGAGCTGAAGGGTAGCAAAGCGGTTTCAGCAAAGACTTGTCGGCAGACAGCGAGCAGAGCAAGGGTGTTCTTTGAGACCGTCATATTCTTTGCGATGCCTTGATATTCGTTGTAATCGATGTGGAATGTCTTGCCACCAAGTGCGTATCCGAAGATCAAGTGGCGAATCTCTGCTGGCAACCGCAACAATGGGGAGTTCCGCTGGTTCTGTCTCGCGCTGTGTTCAAGTCAGTGAACCACTTGAACCCAAGTCGATGGAAATACTGACATCTTGAGGTACTTCCCCGTCTTTTGCTCAACATTGAGCAGGCCGTTTGCATGAAAGCGAAGCTTCTTGTGACTGCGCTTGGCTACTCCTTCACCAGTGGAAGCCTTCATGCTCTTGGCGACGGTCGCAGTCTGGTTAGGCATTCGGGATGCCATAACGAGGTTGTCGATGATTTGGAAAGTGTAGAGTAGATGTGTAAGGAAAAGAGTAGAGTCGAGTTCTACTTGTGGGACTGTCGGGCCTAGCGGTCAGGTAAAGGCGCAGGTCGGGCTTACTAGGTGAGTCAGAAGAGATGAAGTACCTGAGACGAGCGTGATGTAGGAGGCGAAGGTGGGTGAGACGAGATATAATGTCAAGTAGCAGCACGAAGTAGATGGTAAAGTCCACTAACCATCCTCGTCTCCAACAGTAACGGCGCTCGCTCACACATGTCGCGTGAGGTGAGCGACGATGCGGCGTGAATTAGGTAGCAACCCATACCCAGTGATTCGTATCACCATCAACATCGTTCCTCCCCTCGCCAATCTCTGATCACTGCCACGTGCTTGCCGATTCGCTCAACGCACGGTCACACGCTAGTCATACGCTGTTGCCTTCGTAGTAGTCCTCCGCTGCCAGGTCTTTCGTCGCTTCTACCTCAAAGGTCAATCAATCTCTTGATTGTACCCCAAACCAGAACACTGCGCATTGCTGGAACAACCTCAGTAATTCCGACGACCTGAACCATCAATGGCGCCCCGCAAGACCGCCGCCGGCGACAAAGCCCCGAAGGCACCTGTCACCAAAAAGACCGCAAACAAAGTCATCAAGCGACCGGCGCGCGGATACCACAAATTTCGAAATGGCTTACTGAATGTCACGCCCAAAGGTGATGAAAAAGAGCTGTGAGTGTAACCAGTCTTTCTGTAAGAGCAACAGCTAACCGTCTGTCAGCGTCAAACAAAATGAGAGTTCTCCGTTGCTTCGTATGCCTGCTGAAATCCGCAATACAGTCTGGAAGCTTGTGTTGGGAGGAAAATTGTATAAGACAGACGGGAGAGGGAAATTCTATCCTTCATTAGCAGAGCCGAAGAACGCCACTGCTCTTCTGAGAACCTGTCGTCAGATCTACTCCGAAACCGCAATCATGCCGTTGGCTCTCACGGTATTCTCCACCTCTTCTGTCCAGCGGGCAAAGAGATCCTTCGGAAGATTCAAGCTACGGCAGCGCAAACAAATCACGATGCTACAATTCGACATCGTTTCGCCCGAAAGCGTTATAGAGCTCACAAAGTTCTTCTTTGTGCGCAACAAGTTTATACTTGCTGACTCGCTCCCCGCGTTGCAAGAGCTGCGAGTTGAAGTATACTCGGCCCAAGATCCAATTATGACCCGCGAAAGAACGGAGGAGGCTGTGCACGAGTACCTCGAACCAAGCATCCGAGGGATGTCGGTCGAAGTAAAGGTACACCAGACCAATCTACCATGGTCTGGTCGTTGAAACTTGTAAGTCGACCAGATATGAAGCTGTCCGCATGGAACCATACTAATGAAGCTATAGGTTCGATCCTGCAGTCCTTCAAATCACTTGATGATGAGATGTTTTGGCTATCTCATTCGACGGGTTGGAGACGGTTCACTCGCTGAACAACTAAAGTCCAACACGGCAGGAGCACTCACGTATAAAATAACGACACTTGACAGCGTTGCGGCGATCTCCCATTTAGCTACTTATCAAAAGTTGTGCTGGATATTGAGATTTCTTGCCTTCGGTATTAGTGCTATTCTGGATAAGCTCAGTGCACCAGGGAGATAGATTGAAGACGCTGCTTTCATGACTTCAATGCAATCAATACTCCCGATTCTTATAGATTGTAGGTGCCGTGACCATGGTCCGAAGAAGTCGCTAGATATGCCTCGGCGCAACCAAAGCTGCTGATTAGCTATGCGTCTCTTTCCCGCCTTCCGGTACATGTCGTTGTATCAACTTCTTGACCCTGGTTCTAATAACAGTCAGTAAAATGATACGGATAGCATGTTGTGTGGTTGTGGAGAGAAGTCGTGCTCAGTGAGAAGATTATGAGTCGTCTTGGAAAGCGCCAGACGAGTCAAGAGATCAGGCCGCAAGCAGTCTTTCACTCTCGTCTCAAGCCTGACGCCGGCTACGCCTAAGGATGATAACTAGGGTTTCATCATTGCATATGGGAGTGAAGAGAGAAGGGTACTTACAGCATGGTGTCGACTAGGCATATGTGATTTGCTCCAAGCCAGCAGTGGTGGAGCGGCTGCTGCATGAATGAGTTGTTGCCCATCAGTTGTCGTTGTTGTCCGTTCAATAGTCCAGATCGAGGGTCTCGTCCTTTTGCACGTCGGGCCCGTTGGCCTGGTGCCAGGCGTCCCATTCGTCGCTTCCATCGTCACTATCGCCGCTGTCTGCGCCGTCGCGCCCACTCCGTCTGCGCGGCAAGCCTCTCTCCAGCCTTCTTTCTTTCCTCCTCTTCGCGTATCTATCCCGCTTTCGCTTGGCCTTGGCTTTTGATGTGGCACTGTTGGTCGCCCACTGTTGCTTCTTCGGTTCTGCAGACGCATCAGGCTGCGTCTTGTCGGCATCAGCCGCGCGCGAGGAGCTTTCTTGGGTAGGTGGAACCGTTTCCACTAGGCTTGCAGGGACAGCGTTGTCGTCAGAGACTTCGCCATTCTCCTTCCGTACTCGCCGTTTGCGGAGCATTGCATGGATCTCGGAGTGTCGAAACATGGCGATTTGCTCGTCGGTCAGGGTGCGCTTCGTGCCGTCGGGGTAGTAGCCCAGCCCATCGTCGGCTTCGTCGTAGTATTCTTCAGCTGCTTCTACCTCTGGCTCAAAACCATGGAGTATATGCTCTGGCGGCGGCGCGTGGGGGAAGTGTTGCGCATGGAAGGCGCGTAGGTCGTCCTGAGCTACTTAGCGACTGGCTACGAGCGCGATACTTGACTGCTGCACTCACGGTAGTGACGGTTGGTATCTGAAGCTCCATGGCGGGTATTGAAAACTTGGCGCGACTGGATTAGACGCGCTCCAGGGCGCGGGGTGTCACGTTGGTGAAGGCATGTGAGGAAAAGAAGAGTTGGTCCCCAAGCTCAGAAGGCACCGGTGTACCCGTCGCGTGGTCACGAGGTCTTGGCTTCACCGCGGCATGACGTCTGTGCTCCCATCTTCAACGCCGCGTTCACCCAGAACCTGTAACGACACCCTAATGCACCATCTGGAACGATCATGAAGCCCGCATCTTTCGTCGCATATCCCCTCGCAACCATCGCCCTGACCCTTGCCACATCTGCGCAAGCCCGCCCCTTCGACAGCATCATCCAGTCATTCAACATCCTCAGCGAACAGTCACCCCTCCGAGACTACATCATGAGCAACCCTGAAGGCCAGGCGACGACTGGTATTATCATATCCGATGTCATCGGCAAGACGCAGAACATCGCCATCTTCAGCGGCCTGACACGTGACATCGACGCAGTCTCCGGCCGCCTCGACAACGCCTCGCAGAATGCCACAGTGCTGGCACCGAACAACAGCATCATGCGCGACTTGAAGAGGAAGCCCTGGGAAGACCCCGACGACTACGACAGTTTTGGCGCGGACGCGTACGAGGGCACCAGCGGCCAAGACCGGGCGCGGGGCAATCTTGAGCGCTTTGTTCAGCGCCACATCATACCGGAGAGCCCATGGGAGGAGGGCAAGAAAGTCAAGACGCTTGCCGGCAATGAGATTTGGTGGGAATCCAAAGACGGCCAAAAGAAGGTAAGCCATGCCGCTATGTCGGTGGTCCCGCCCCCTCGTTGGCACTGCCCCACCATTCGTCCCACGCCCACACAACCAACAATATATTTGCATCTATTCATCAAATCTTCATCAATAGCTCCTAGAGAAGGACAGATGGCCGTAAGTTTAGTCAAACACCCTCAAATCGACCAAATCTAACAAATCATAGGAGCTGGTTATGGCGCCAGGTTAAGGTTACTCTTAACATTACTTCCTGGTCACGAAAGTGGCGTGGGTTCGAGTCCCACTCTGTTCAGCATTCGTCTGGCTAAAGTCAGATACTCCAGGATCTTTTTTTGCCAATGTTTTGGTCACTTTTGACCATTTTTGGATTTTTGCTGGCATTTACCCACCGACTAACTTAACCTGGTCCAAATTCTATCTGTTCCCAGCTAACACAAGCCTACAGATTCAACCTGCCGACGTCGAAGTGACCAGCATCGCCGACAAGGTATCCAATGGCGAGGTTTGGGTTCTTGGAGGCTCTCTCGGATAGACATGATAAACTCACAAGATCCCAAGGGTCACAACGGTGACATCGCATCCGCTGTTATCCGAGTTTTGTTCTTACGGACGATCTATTGCGATTGTACACGCTTGTTTCATGTCGAGCATTAGACGGTATTATGACAAGCCAGCTTCAACTCGGTAGATGTCACGGTCTCTATAGATTATGCATTTTCTTTACAATGCACTGTGTTGTAATGTATTCGCTCGCTACGCTGCATATAATCACTGCCTACTGTTGCAGATCCTTCGCCCAACGACCTTCTTCTCCACTGGGATAAGTCATGAGGTCAGGCGTGATGTCACCTTCTGTATGGGATATGTCTGAGCGTACTTGCTCTTCTTCTGCGAGACCAAGATCTTGAGCGTCATGCACATAGCCGCAGTAACAATAGAGAAGGCTGCAGTGATGAACGAGGTGTTCAACCAGCCTCGATTGGCACTCGGAATGACAACGACGAGGCTGAAAACTTCAAGGTAGAGGCGGTGTAGGCTTCCATAACCACCAATCCTGCTTGAACAACACGAAGACCCAAGGGGCATGGATAACCAGTGGAGGAGGGCCGGTATAAGATTTCATTCGGCTTCTAATTGTGTAATGGTTGTCTTCGCTGTCTATCAAGGCCGAAGGATCCGTCCGCACTGCAGACTTGGGCGCTTGCCATCAATGTTGGTATCGTGGTGGTGGCAACATCATCGCAAATAGCCAGGCGCAGGGCTTTTGGTGCAGTTGACGTGGAACCCTGGACACCGTCTCGTAAGAAGGCAATGTTACGAGCGTAATGGTTTGATAGACGCAGCCCATCGTGATCTTTGGAACGCCATTGTCGCACAGCATCTACTGCTGCGAGGTAGAGTCATCTGATACCGCGAAAGCGCGCCAGCGGCATACAAGAAATGTCGATCCGGGGCCATTTTGTTGCTGTTGGAAGACCTCGGGACTCTGTTGCGCAGCAATCCAGGATGAATTGTGCTTGTTGCCTCACTTTCATTCGCGCACTCTCTGTGAGCCGCTCCCGAAGTAACAGCGGTTCTAGCTTGCCGGTTTGAGAGCGTAGATGGTGACTCTCGACGGCGGGGTTGTCGAGGTTTGGCGGTCTTCGGCCCCAAGGTTCGCTTGCCAACTAGCAGGAGCACTAAGGTCAAGAGCTTCAGTACTGCTTCCCCATAGCCGTCAACTCCAATCTTTGACGATATTCTTACGACTACAAACCATTCCGCGCGGACCTTTCGGCACGGGTCGAGCCAGCCATCATAGCGTGTGATGATCACCTTCCAGGGGATGTTTCCTCAGCATGCATGTCCACACACCATCCCACGACCCCGGTCAACTCTTTTAACGCACCAGCATAGCCTCCCAAGGCGACGGAATACAGCGCTTGCCATAGCCCTTGATCGCGCGTGGATCGTACATGCGGTTGTCTCGATCCATGTGCAACCGCGTCGTTCCCTGAGCTCGTCGTCGAGCCTATTGCGACGTCTACAGTCCCATTTCCGGTGAGAACTTGCTTGCATCCAACTGATGTGGTCCCAGAGATGGCCTCAAGCGGTGTGGTGGATGGTGAGACGTAGGAGCTATGATTCGACCTCTTGAAGGCCAGCTCATGCACACCCTGCGCTTCGGCGCGGCATTCTGGTGTTGCATATCTGCCTGACAGCTCAGAATGAGGCTCTTGAGGAGTGAAGGGTGGCGACAGGTCCGTAGTCCTTGTTGCGATGCCATCTCTCATCCCATTAATCAAGTCGACTGTCAGCGAGTCGTACTAATACCATTGAAGGCTGCTGGATGGCAGCAGGGCATCCTTCACAATTTTTTCCAATATATCTTGCACCTCTCCCATCGATTCAATTCGTCGTCATGTCAAAGCAAGCCTGCTCTGAGCTCGGAGGTGGTGGACCTTCGGTCAAGGAACGCATCCAAGCTCTATACGATCACCGCGACATCTTCGGAAAGATCGCCGAGTTTCCACAAGCTGGAGTCTACCTGACAGTACCAGAAGATCTGGTTAGAATTCGAGCATACGTGGAAAGCGAGGTCTTCCGATGTAGGAGAGCCGTCAACTGCTACCTGCAGAAGAGCGTACAGCCTGGGGAACCCTCCCCCACTGAGGCCACTCATCGGGAGGTAATGATGCCTTACGTCGAGGCTGTACTACTTTTCGGTTTGTATACCCGCGAGTTTGGAG